GACCCATTTTCGATTTAGATCGCGATCACTGGCGCGCTCATCGAGAGGCTGCTCGTCCGCGCGCGCCCGCACACGCGAGAAAGAAGTCATTTAGCTCCGCGGCGCAATTAGAGATCCTTTATGCAATGCCAAGCGCTCCGTTATGCGCCAGTTACGGACAATGAGTACGTAGAAATTACCACAAATGGACTCGTTCACCGTTCGTTAAAGCCATCGGCGTGAAGTGCCTCATAGAGTCGCAGTCCTATCCGCTGCTTTCTCAGCCGGTGGCTGCGTTACTTCCCTTCGCTGCGCTTCTTTTTCAAAAGATTAATCATCAATGATTTTTATTACTTTCTTCTTATCGCTTTCGCGTGGACAGTTCGAAGACTGCAAGAGCAAAATGTTTTTCACTTTAAACGTTTTGTGATTTACGAGTTGAGATTGATGAGTTAGAAAAAAATCCTTTTACTATAAATAATTATATTTTAAGGAACCTTTTGTTAGAGACATAATATGTATGACAAATATGTGAACAAGAAAATTAAAATTCTTCCTTTCTTTCCTTCATTCTTTATTTCTGAAATTTTACATTATGACATAAATGGAACTCCATTAGAATAAAATCTATTATTATATATATCATTTTATTATAATACAAATATTATTGATATAAATATTGTTATTTTTATATTTTGTTATAATTTAAATTTAAAAAAATGAAATGAGAGAATATAAAGAAAATTCGAGATCGCCGAAAAATCGCTTTATACGTTGTTCAATGAAAAACTCATTAAGAAATATGACGAAACGAAAACTGGAGAATATTCATACCGACATTCGCGGTTACAAAGACGTTCTTTGCAACCACGACGAGGACACGATATTATGTTTCAAATATATTATAACTAGGTGCACGTGTCCGCACGTATATTATACTGACTAGCCCAGTATCTGCGAAAGAGAGGAAGAAAAATTGTGTGTGAAAATGTGCAAATATATATGTACGGTTAACCTGGACGGTAATTCTATCTCCATATCATCTTATCCACGTCCAATTATATTATGTATGAGATAACAAATATCTGAATTGTGACCCTCTGATCATTAGAAGACAAATGCAGAGCAAAGGTCCATTATGTTGTTCGTTACGACACGTATCTACGGCTATACCTACCAATTACCTATATCATAATCATTTATTGTATTATTTACAGCTTTAACTTTGATATAGGAACTCGATTTAACATAAATTCTATTTGCAATTGTTTTTTGTGATAACAATTCAGTTACGATGTCCCTTTTAATACGGCTGTATATTATTTTTTACAATAAAAAAAAGCTAAATTATTTTTAATTGTTATTTTCTTAATAATTAATATGTGCATATCGAAAAATACCACGCAGTATTAAGAGTGCCACAATTAATCAAATCTCGAAATGACGCCTTGTTTTACATCGATCGTTCAGAAATATTGTAACAAAACATATTATGTGACTCTACACATTTTTAATAATTGAGAAAAATATAGTATTCTTTTAAATTTTTACTTTCTCAACTGTTAATACTGACAAATACCACGAATTAATGTCCATTTCAACCAGTGTAGATTAACTTTAATCTCGGCTTAGCTTACTCTTTATCTTTTTTTAATTCTTAAAACTATAAAAAATAAAAAGTAAGTTAAATCAAGATTAAAGTTAATCTACATTGATAGAAACAGGTATGAGAGGCACAATAATTTAAATATTTCGAAATGAAGCCTTGTTTTATATTGATCGCCCAGAAATGTTAGGTCTGTTTTTTATTGCTGCTCTCTGAACCGGTGCAATAAGTTGAAGTGAAACAAACGTATACATTTGTTTCACTTCAACTTATTGCACTATGTGTACCAGTTCAGAAAGTGCAGCAATAAATAAAAAACAGATCTAACGTGTCAAAAACAAACTAATGCGACTCTATACATTTTCAGCAATTGAGAAATGTAGTGTATTATTTTTATTTTTTTTTCAATAATTAATATACGTATATCAAAGAATATATATATCAAGAAGTATATCTACGCAGCACATTGAGAGTCAAATATCTCAAGATGACGCCTGCCATAAGGAAGACGAAGTACAATCAGATAAAATTTTCATTTCTCAAGTCTTTTTTTTTAGACTTTCCTCCATTAATTTTCCTTATTATCAATCGTTGGATTGTGCTTCTGTATAAACCGCAGTTGCGATTGTACGCGAGAATAATAGCCCGCGTTAGATTATAGAGTGTTTCGCAAGCTACATTGTGCTGATTGTACCCTATTAGGGGACTATTATCGATGTGGTGGTCCGCGTTTTTCTCGCTACATAACGCTCGAAGATATAACTATATAAATGAACGGATGTCTGATTGCGCCCCACTCTTCTCTGCCATGTTGCCGCTGCACGTTTATAGTACCGGATGTGGCTGCCTGAATTTCGTATTACATCGGTACCAAACGTAACTGCCATATTAAGACTCGAGATCAAGCCGTTTAATTCAGTGCCGAGTGTGTGTGTGTGTGTGTGAGGCGCGCGCGATAATATTCGCAGGATCGTGAATGGCATACGAACGGCGACTTCGAACTAGGATTGAATCGCCGTGACAGAATGAGCCCGTCACGTGCTCCTTACGCTCGGTTGCATTTACAAGAAAAAACAATTAGGAAAACAACCAAGCGACGAATGACTCTTATACGAGAAGGTGCATAAGGAGGGAAGTGCGCGGAGAAACGACAAGACACACGTGACACGAATACTCCACACATGAAATATTTATGTGAATCATTTTTTTAAATATTTCAATAAAATATATCAGAAATATTTCATAAACATTTGTAAAACGATTTAAAGTATTGCATTAAAATATTTTACAAAAATATTTTAGAAATATCGTTCTTACAAATATATTGTAAGAACAAGAATATTTCAAAAACTTTGATTTCCTGGATATATTTATATTTCAAAAATAATTCATAAAAAATTTCTGAAATATTTCATGCTGCTTTCCGTCCGCGAAGCTTGTGATATTGACAACTGTGCGAAGGAGATCCCTTGAGGTCAAGCACGTCGAGTACGTGAAAGCAACTGTGTGATGCAGTGTGATGCATCGCGCTTGCACGGCGCGTAAATGCGAAGCGCGTTCGTCGCATCCATCGGCTGTCACGATACGCCACGTCAAGTCGCGGTTGAGTCAAACGTGGAGAAATTAAACCCTTTCGACTTGGCTTGGTTTCGACTTCCCGAGGAAATTTCAAATGACACATATGGCTCGACCGGGGCGGTTAGGCTGCGGTCTGAGTATTGCATCGCTTTTATTTTTGGAGATTTGCCCGACTTCGGCTGCATTCCACTTGTTCGCAACGCTCTTGGAATTATTTTCACCCTTGTTTATTAAACGTTATTAAAGACAAACGATGCTTGCGAAAGTTGTGGGAGTCAAACACACCCTCCGTCTCGTGCGTCTGTATTTCGTAGAATTATTGACTCTTCGAAACATCTCTCGTTCCTATCAACCTCTATAAATATGTTTTGCGGCCGTATCGAATCCTTATCTGGGAATTAAGTGCTATAACTCTGAAAGTCTATCTCCTCAAGTTGTTTTTCGTATAATACTAAGACTCAATTGGGTCTGAAATCTATGTATAAAAGAAGAAGAAGAAGAAGAAGAAGATCAACGCCATAAGATAAAGAGGAAGAAGACTTCCTGGAGGCGGAAGGAAGAGTGCGAAGAGCGGGACCGACCGGAGATTCCACCACCACCTCCGTCGTGTGCCCTACTGTCAACGAGGAGCACCTCAGTTATACGCCACGGGGTTGAGAAGGCGGACGCGTTTGCTCCATGCTCCGGCTTCGGCGTCCCGATGTGCGTCGCTCCGCGAAAGAAGGAATCCCCCTGTTACGCGCACGTCGTTTCACACCCACTTCCTCGGACCAATTAATCGAAAAAACAAATATTTGCCGGTGCGACGTCGTGGGCCGGTCGATTGATCCACCGTCGATCGCTCCTCTCTATCGTCGAGGTGACCTGGACTCTCCACGCGACTTTTCCCGCCCTTTTGATGACGCACGCACGCGAAGAATGACGCGTGTAACGACAGATACGGAATCAGCAATTTATTAATTAACTATATCGACCGAAATTAAACGGATGGATATTTCTCTTGATATACTAAATAGCGATCGATAGTGAAAGACGAGCTCCTTCATTCGTTCGCGTTTGGGGCCATTAGGAACTGATGAATCGCTCGATATCGGCAAGGATAACGGCAAGGATAGGGCGAATGTGAAGTACAAACGCAAAGCGCGAGACGAAGTTGTAGCCTTCTTCGCCTCGTTACGTGGCGACGGGAAACTCGCGTGACACGCAGACTCTATTAGATGATATCGCACGGAAATTGTTTTACGCGTAATTCGGACTCCGCATGAGTGATGGACGGGAAACGCGGCGGCCGTTAACGTATCACGCGACGAGTGAGCGATCGGCCGATCGATCGTTCCTTCGTCCTTTCGGACAAACGGAAGCGAAGTCGTATGTGCGCAAACCGAAAGATCGATTCGGGAAGAATAGTCGTAAAAGAAAGAAAATTAAAAAGCATCGAAAGATGGACTGATTCGGGAAAGAAGAAAAGACGAAGTGCGAACTAGACGTGAACGAACAAAAACGTCATGTAAGTTTTATGAACAAAATTGAAACGTGAAAGATTTCTGAAGAGTCTTGGTAGCGATCTGTAGAAACAGACATTGAGATCATAAAAAAAATTTGAAAGTTACAAAGGATAGATTGATTCGGAGAAAAAAAAACAAAATGTGAATCAGACGTAGACAGACACGTAAGTTTCATGCACGAAATTGAAATACGAAATGTTTCAATTTATTCCGAGAAAACTCTTGGTGGTGATCAAAGATATATTAATCGATAATATTTATGAGATTTTAATATATATAATCGCTGTATAATTTAAGAGATATTGGACTTTAATAAAACAATGATTGCTTCTTCCGATTTATAGAGATGGAAACTGAAATACTCTTCGATAGATAAAAAAAAAACTCTCCGATATTAATAGCTAAGGAACACAACTTGGTTAGCGAGCCCGTAGGTGACAATTGTTGGTTTCTAATATCTCACAAGCGAGAGAGATTTCTGACAAACCAATTAATTTAACGCCCGACAACAACAAGAATAAAACGTAAAAATAACAATGTGGAAATTTATCAAACGAAACTTTTCACAACTATCTCTCTTTTAGAACACGTGGGCGAGTCAACGCCCGGCAGTGATATTAATAATCTCTATAAGATTTAAGAGATATCAGACTTCCTTGAAGAAGCAATGACCATCGCTTGTATTATTAAAAAGTATCGCGACGTCACGATCGTTCCGATCGATTCTATGCCGTGATATAATATACCATGCTTGATCATGAAGGGATGACGAGAATCGTTCGTCGTACAACCGTCTCGCATCCCCGACGACACCAATAAAACCGTCGGTGCCCCCGATGATCGTCGCGATGGGATTTCCATCGAACGCGACCGATCTACCATTCGATTACTTGGACTACACCGGGCCGACGAACGCGTCGTCCGTGGGCGCGGAACTGAACTTGCCGTACACCGTCTGCGAGATCCTGGTCGCGATTTGCGCTGTCTTCGGCAACGGCCTGGTGATCATCGTCTTCGGTAAGGAGCGGAAACTACGAAGACGCACCAACTACTACATCGTTTCGCTGGCTACGGCTGATCTTCTGGTTGGACTGTTCGCGATCCCATTCGCGATCCTCGCGAGCATCGGCCTGCCGACGAATCTCCACGCCTGCCTCTTCACCGTGTCGGTCCTTGTCGTCCTCTGCACCATCAGCATCTTTTGCCTGGTGGCGGTGTCCGTCGATCGTTACTGGGCGATACTGTATCCCATGGGATACTCGCGCACTGTACGCACTAAAACTGCCATAGGTGAGGCACCCTTCGAACCAATCGTCATCATCTTCGTCGTCATGGTCTTCGTCGATGATGACGTTGCTTGTCGCGGCCTTAGCTGACATCGTTAATTTGATATGTGATTCGGGCGCTCGTGTCACGAGATTAATGACGGTCGATCTAAATTGATCCGAGATCACCACTCCCGCGAGGAACGGCGGAAACTCGATCGCGTCGTAACGATTACGCAATTAGGCGAATTGATCTCTTACAATTTTTTTGTTGCTGCTTTCTTGCTAAACAAGCCGTATTTGAGCGTAATTGAGATTGCCAATAATTTGAATTGAGTAATCGCTCTGGCAATTTAATATTTATATTGTTATATAGAATATAGTTGCGTCTGAAGTACGTATATATGAATGAAGAGAAAAAATTTATCTAACCGAGATTAATTTCAAGCGTTGATGCAATCAGTTCTATACTTCAAATCCGCAAATATGTCTGTGTGCATTTATAGTTTTCCGTGCAAAAATAACACACTGTAATAACATACTGCATGAAAAGCTATATATACACATTTAAACGTATAATGTAGTATTATTTTTACATGGAAAATTAAGTCTCACATATTATGTGAGAATACATTGAAAAAAAATTTAAATGTGTAATAAATGTCTATATAATTACATATGCAACGACTTTAATATGCACCAATGCGCACTAATGCGTCCAACGAATTCGGTTGGATGCACTTGTGCGCACTGGTGCATATTAAAGTCGTTGTACACTTACATTAAAAAAAAATTACTGAACCTTAATGCATATTTCTTTAAAAAGTAAACATTTACTTGACAGTAAATAAATATTTACTCGAATGATAGTTAAATCAAATTAATGATTTTTGTATCAAATAAATATAAGCTTACATTTAGTAAATATTTACTTAGAATTATTCAAATACATTTATTAAAATTTAGTATTTTTACATTTCACTTTTTAATTTAAAATTCACATTTTATAATTTAAAATTTTTCAGTGTATTGATTTTATTTGAGTGTAAAAGTGAAATGTAAATATTGTAAATTATAAAATATACATTTTTCCCAACAGTACAATAAAGTGTATTGAAGATTTAGTGGTTTAATCCATTTCTATCTTTATATTAAACACATATTTTTACAACAATTTATGTACGACGGTTTTAATATGCGTACTGAGTGCGTCCAATTCGTTATTAGATTTGCAGATGTCACATAGACACTTGGATATAATTTCTAGTATTTTATTGATGCAATAAAAGCGTGTACTTGGCAAGTATGGCTCTTTGGGCCATTCAAGTAATAACAGTAATATAAATTACGAGTTAGACATGCATGTGACACTTAGTTGCTCAATTATGGACTTGTTTAGTCAAGGGCCAGTCAAAGAAAGCTCAGAGATCTTTAGGTGTGTTATTAACTATCGTTGATGTCGTTAACGAAAGGAACAACAAAAGAGTCCGGTAGTCGTGCGCAATATTCTAGTCCCAATTTCCGGCACGTGTCCGTATGAACGTGAGGATACAGATATACGAGCTGATATAATTACGTAGCATTGTTCGCGTAATCCGCGATTGTTGTATCGCGTTCCTGTTTTAAGTCGCACGATGTCGTGTCGCGTTTATTAAGCGTGAATGCATACGCCAATTAGCGCGAGTATGCAAATCAATTGTGAAATTGCATCGCGTTCTTCTTAAAGTAATCGTAAAATCCCCACGTGTTTTTTCCCCACCGTCCCGATTTTGTATCGTGCACGAACGAAAAGTTCTTGAAATAACTGATAGGCAAATTTGATTTACAGAATTTGAGAGAAGACACGCTTCAAAACGATCTGAAAAGAAAGAATCAACAAGTCGTAATTTTGTTTCAAGACTAGAAGTGGGTGATTCGAAATTCTTATAGACCCTGATTTAAAAAATTAAAAGAGATATCGTCCCTTACTTCAAGAGTGACACAACTCAGAAAATTAAGTTTCTCGGAAAAACTATTTTTCAACTTGACACACTGAGAGAAAACAAAATAGTTCCAGCAACTATAAATTTGGCAACTTTTGCAATTGAAGTGCCTGTAACTAGTTTTACAAAGTAATAAAAACTAAAGTAATGCTGAATATTATAAAAATATAGTCACGGTAACAAATTGTATGCACTATTAATTGATAGTGAAGTAGTGACTCAACTACATTGAGTAGTTACTTGGACTTCATGCAAATAAATATAACAATTACATTTTTCTAGTTTAGACAAAAATTTTTAAAGGGTCGCTCAGTACGAGTAATACGCGGCTTTGTCACCAGAGGGATGTAGCGGAGTTCAGTTTCTCCTCTCTAAGAAGGAAACCACTCGCTTACAATAAAAGGCGCAGCGTTGGTTTCAAACTTGGAAGACAAAAATAAATAAGAAATGCATACACAAATTTGTAACTATGTATTATAAAGCTTTAATGACAACAGTAAGTAAATTAAGTGAACTAAGAAAATATAGTAATATTAACCATTTATAAATTGTTTATATGGTTAATGTACTATATTTTCTTAGTTCACTTAATCTAGTATTCTTATTAGAATTTAATAATATGTATATAGTTAAGGCGCTATTTCACTACAAATTTATAGTTAC